AAAAGTGTCCGGAGCCAGGTGCTCAAACCAGGCGAGAACGCATACAAGCCTACCGAGCCGCAATCACGCTTGGAGGAGACATGATGCGCACCCTGGGCTATCTGAGAGTACCTGAACCCTTGTGACAGCATCTATAGTCTCCATCCTTTTCTTTGGTTGGTTTAACCAGTTTGAAATTTAGGATCCTATAAGGTAATCCCAACAATCATGGCACGGAGCTTTTGGCCTCTCAGGGCCGCTGTAACCCTGTGTCCTGTTTCACGCATTGCCGTCGAACTTTCTGGATTCGTCGGGGTAGGGGATTACGGTTTAGGGTTTAGTAATTTAGGGTTTCGAGTGCGACGTGCTGCGAGGGACTTGGCCGGGCGAGCTCAGTTCAAGCCTGTGGAGAAGGGTTTAGATTACTCCCAGAAACCTGTGTGCGCATGTTAGTAGGTTATCGTTACCGATGACCAAGGTCAATATAGGGGCCAAATAATTGACAAAAGTATTCGTTCTATTCGCTATAATTAGGGCTCCTCAGTATATATGATTATACCCTAAGACCCTATTCAATTGATTCAGTCCCCCATATTAGAGCTCAGGGACTCGGCTACTAGGGGGCTTATTCATCAGTCCCGATACCAGCGGTGCTTTTCGCGGCAAAAGCTAAACCCCAATAACCCTAAACCCTAAAGCCCTAAACCCTAAACCCCTCAGCCCTAAACCCTAGCCTAATCTAGTGAGTCTCCAGGGCATCAGACCCTGCATCGTAGGCTCGTCCTAGCCAGGCGGGAGGCAAACAAAAACCCTAAGCCCTCAGCCCTAACCCCTAAAGCCCTAAACCGTAAACCCCTCAGCCCTAAGCCCTAAAGCCCTAAACCCTAAACAGGAGCTTGAGAGAAGGGTGCGTGGTCTTTTGAACAAGATCTGTCCCGACAACCTGAAGACTATCGTGGAGACCCTGGCCTCGCGGATGAGGTTTAGTGTTTTATAAAGGTCTCCTTTAAGGGTTCCTTTAAGGGATCTTTTAGGGATCTATAGGGTTTTTTGGTTCAGGGCTTTAGGGGTTCCTTAAGGATAGCTTTAAGGGCTCCTTTAAGGGATCTTTTGGGGGTGCTCAAGGGGTTTAGGGGTCTGGGGGTTTGGAGTTTAGGGGTTAGGGTTTATGCCTGCCAACCAGATGCAAAAAAGGGTTTAGGGTTCAGGGGTTTAGGGGTTAGGGTGTCAAGTCCATTGGCAAAAAGGGTGTTGTGGGTCGAGCTGGGCAGTCATGGCAGCAGTCGAGTCTTGTGAAAAACGGGGTTAGGGTTTGGCGGTTGGATATTATAGGGTTGAAATTCTAGGGTTTAGCGGTTTTAGGGCTCCTTTAAAGGGTTGCTTAAAAGGGATCTACAGCGATTTAGGAGGGTTAGGGGTTCAGGGGTTTAGGGTTTTGGGGCTTGAGGGGTGTAGGGGTTTTGGAACTTGGGGTTTTGGGTTTTTGTGGTGCTGGAGTTTAGGGTTTTGTGCCTGTGGGAGGGAAGGATGGGAGAGAGAGAGAGAGACAGACACAGAGACAGAGACAGAGAGAGGGAGAGAGGAGAGAGAGAGAGAGGGATAGTTTTAGGGTTTTGGCTTAAGGAGCTGATTTGAGCGTGGGCGTGGGGCTGGGCTTACCGTCCAGATGTATTAAGGATTGAGGTCTCAGGGTTTTGGTCTACCAGGGTCGATTGCGGCTCTAGTGTTGAGGAACCCTTGCGTTTGGGGTGCTTCAGTGATCTTCAGTCTTCATGTGTCTTGACGGTCCTGTTTCTAGGGTCTTTCTGTTGCAGGATCCCGCAACGGTAGTGCATCTCAATGGAGAAACCTTCAAATCTAGAATGTCTTGTTGCTACACTAAGGTGCCAGGTTTAAGTGTGGTGTATCAGTTCAAAGCGTTGTGGTGTCGAGGTCAGGGTTCCGTTTCAAGCTATACCTACTAGGTTCAGGGTCTCGGCATTTTGGGATTTCCAGTTTAAAGAAATTTCAGGTGGCGTGTCAGGTTAGATTTTTTGTCTCGAGATTCTCATGCGGGGTATTGCAGGATATGATTTCAGGCTGGCACCCCCGATGTACAAGGCGACAGGCTTGAAGTCACGGTTGCTCCAGGGACTTGGCAGGTAGGTGCTCTCGACCGGTTGACTAAGGCCCCCGATCCGTTTAGGACTTGAGCCGATTTCGGGTAAAAAACTGGGCCACAAGCTGTTCTACAGGGTTTACAGGGCTTCGGAGAAGCCCAAACCCGAAGTCCCTAAAGCGCGAAACCCCTCAGTTGTCCGATCTTCTCTGTGATCCTAGACCCGAAGGCCCGGTCCTCCCCAATCCGACGAAAGAACCCCGACCTCCCAGGCACAGATTGACTTGCAGAAGGCTGAGGAGCTGGAGTTTGTGATTAAGATCATCTTCGGCAAAGCCCTCGTGGAGCCGCACTACTGTCACTTGGACCTGTTTTAAGCTCAGAGGCACGAAACCATCGTGACAAGGCCCATCACTAGGGGCTTTCAGCTTTCAGCAACATGCAACAATCCCCATCCCAGTCTTAGTCACCAACAGCGACACCGCCACCAGCACCATCACCAGGGGGAGGGCACCAGTACCAACACCAACTGCGGCACGAGCGAATTGGACAACATCACATGTGGGACGCTGCTGGTAGGAATGTTTGAAAGATGCGTTGGGATAAATTGCACACACGTGCTCAAAGATTAATCTCTTGGCTCAACAGCCTGGTCCGTCATCGTCTCCGAGAAAGAACTAGACACAGACATTATTTAGAAATGCAAAAAATGTAGACCAACTTCTGTCGCTTCTGCTGAAGCGAAGATGAAGAAAGCATGACGAGCCGACGATGCAACAATGATTGTACAAGGTCCTCACAGGGGTTTTGAAGGGAGGCTACCAGGCACTGCAAGGTTTTTCGCCGATGGATTGCGTCTTCGGCCCTCACTGCGGATTAGAGTTGTTGTTTCCCACTGCGCTGTGCATACTGTATCGCTGGTCAGTTGAGTCAGTTGTTATGCATCTCTGCTGGGCTAGCCAGCTAGCTAGGACAAGGGCGGCAGAGAGAGAGAGAGAGAGAGAGCGAGAGAGCGCGAGAGAGATGATCATGACTGAGCACTCCCCCCTCCACCCAAACCTTTACACAGCTGGAACTCTCAACTTCAATCATGGTTTCCTTCCGGGTCCTTGCAGACTTGCAGGCACATGGGAAACACACCTGAAAGGGCCCAGCTTAAATCGTCGTACGCGGTTCTTGGGTCCCAAAGAGAATCGAGGTACCGCTTCGCGGATTAAGTCTAACGGTTTTGGGGCTTAAGGCTTGGAGGTTTATGCTCTCAGGACTGAGGCTTTTGGGATTTGGTGCGTGAGAGTTTTCGAGTGCAGGGCTCGGGACTTTGCGTGGTAGGATCTTCATCTTATGAAGTACGGATGTGGGCAGAGGGTTCGGCGGCGTACTGTTGTGAACTCTACAATAGTGCAATCATGCAGGCGAGACCTATGCAGACATGGTCTTCGCACTCCGAACTCGTTACCCAGAGTTCCCAGCGGAGAACGAGGGCGAGAAGCCACACAGCTTCACTCGCGTGCTGCTCAACACAGCCCCTCATCTTACTGAATGCTCTGCACTGTAAACTCTGGACCCCGAGCCTAAGACCTTAAATCCTGCAGGGGTGCGAAGTTGCATACCGTATCGGCCGTATCGTTGAGTTTAGGGTTTTAGGGTTTCGGGTGGTGAACCTGTTAGCCCAGGGCTTCAGGTGTACGGCTTCAGGGCAGGTACAGCTCGGCGACTGTTTATTTCACCTTTCTGCAGGTAGAGGACCATGCTTTGCGGAATGCTAGTATAGAGTCGGTTTTGTGACGGCTGACGTGTTAATAACGTTGCAGTAGCAGAATAAGACTAAAACGCCAATCGATGAACAGCAGTTAGCCCGTCTATATACATAGCTGGAGCCGCACTGGCATGAATAATGATGCCCACAGAAATAATGAGCTGTTCAGTTCATGCAAATGGGGTGTGGCCGGAGATATCCGGATGCAGGGAGGAGGCGAGAATCTCCGACTCCAGGCTTGAACATCCAGAGAGCCCCGTACCCCTTTATTGGGGCTTTAAGGAACAGAATGAATTTAAACCATCATATGAAGCCCCTTGTGCGTTAAGCCCAGTACCCCTCCATTCAGGCTTTAAGGAACGGAAATAACTTCAACCATTATATGAAGCCCCTTATGCTCTAAGGCATATTCCTTGCTTAGGGGGTTATTGGGTCTCTACCGGGAATCCTAGTTATTAGACTGTGAGGTTCCAGAACCCGAATCAAAACCCTATGAAAACAATGGGTTTAGGGTTTAGAGTTTAGGGCTTAGGGTTTAGAGTTTAGGGTTTATTTTTTTTGGAGTTTAGGGTTCAGAGTTTAGGGTTTAGAGTTTACGGCTTAAAGTTTAGGGTTTAGAGTTTAAGGTTTAAGGTTCAGGGTTTAAGGCTTAGGGGTTAGGGTAAACCCCAAACAGTTGGAAGCCGGATTAATGAATTACGGACACGTCGTGTTGGGATTCCCTATGCATTAAAATTACTCTTAATGATTGAGGCTGTTGGGTTTCCAACTTTTCGGCTTCTATTTTTAACGAGATCCGAGAGAGCCCCGAACGCCGGCAGGAAGCGCTGCATAATATGGAAGCCTAAATAATTGCCAGTACTATCTTGGGGGTCCCTGGGTAGAATTGTAGTAGAATATACACCAAAACCCTATTCTAATTTTTTAGGCCCCTACGTTACAGTGCTGTTGTCCGAGGTGCAGAACGAGTTCGAGAGCCTTCCAACCACATTCGAGCCGACAGACGAGGACGAGTTGTTCAATGAATGTTTTGGGATTGTAGGTATACGCCATATATTGGAAACAATCCCCGGAAGGCAGCGCGTTCCTGAGGTTTGTGGCCATCTGTGAAGTTCAACTCTGCTCTAGGAGTTTGAGGGCGTCCTAACGGCCCAATGAGTAGTTGTAAGAAGACTGGTAGTTTTGGGCCTACCCATAGGCTCCATAGCAGTTCCTTTTTGGGGTTACCTTATAAGGATCCTAAATAGAAACCCCAAAAAGGAGCTACTATGGAGCCTATGGGTAGGGCACATGCACTAAGCTTGTAAGGCCCCTACCTACAAGTACCCGCAGGGTCGAGGGTTCAGGGTTTAGGGGATGCAAAAAAAGGGGGTTTTAACTACAGAAGCCCAAAGAAATACCAATATTCGTCCTTAAGGTTCCTGCTTGTAACTGCATTATAAAGGAGCCCGGGACCTTGTTCTAATTATCAAGGCCCCTGCAGTAGGTGTTTAGGGTGTAGGCTGTAGGGTTGATGTTGCAGTCAACTGAAGCTTGCGCCTGTTTGCTGCAGACTTCGCGTCTGACTTGTTGCTGTAGTTTGCTAGATTCTACTGTGTTATCTTTAAGGGCGGGGGGGGGGTCCAAGGTGGGCATACAACCCTAGTAATCCCCAAGGCTCCCTAAAGGATCCTATGCTACCAGTACTACTACCTTTAGAGTCATACCCTACCGTTTCACAGGATACCCACTTCTCCATAAACTATGTGCCCCATGAGACCTCGCCTGGCTTCGCTGAGTTGTGAGAGCTTGAAAAGGGTATCACTTTCCAGGGTTGTATCGTCACAATTCCAGAGAGCCCAATTCAGGAAGATAGCTTCAATCATGACATGAAGCCCCTTATAATTTCAGGTATACTCCTTAATCAAGGGTATGGGGCCCTCCAAGGTCATAATCACAGTCGCAGTTTGCATATGGGTAGTTTTCTATTTTAGGATACCTTTAAAAGAGTACGGCGCCCATATAAAACGGACCCTAAACGGGACCCTAAGTTAGAGAACTACCCATACACCAGCCACAAGAGCTGAGTCTCGGTTGCTGTCATAAGTTTACCTGCAATACTCGAAGCTCTTTCCCCTCAACTCACCGTCCTACTGCTGCTATCGCTGCTGGTCCTTCGGACGACCTGTTACACGTCTTTTGCTCCATGCTGGTGTTTGCACTTGATTGTTTTTTTTTTCTGTTTCGCGTTCGAGGTTTTTTCTCGCAAGTCAGCTCAGTGCCCAGCAGCACGTAGGGATCGATCCCACCCAACTTACCACGGCAATTGCCCTTAACCGTAAGCCCTGCCATCCCTCCTAAACCCGAAAGCCTTTACGCCTAATTGCCTGGCTGCGAGGACCGAAAGAAGTTCGAGTCTACCGAGGACCTGAACCTTGAGATGAAGAAGCGCAAGGGCAAGTGACTCGAACGACCAGGGGACTGTTTGGGATGTAGGGTTTCCCAATAAATACTTAATAATAACAGTAATAATAAACACCTGCATTGCACATAGCGGGCTCTCTGCACCAGGAGTTGCAATGATGGTATGCGGAAGTATCGGTCCCCCGTGTCCCCCCATATGGGGCAGAGAAGATCCTTGAAGGTGAGTCTATCAAGAAGGAGGTTGGGCGTGCAGGTTTTAGTTTTGGGGGCTCATGGCTTGGGAGCATTTGATAGCGCAAACCCTTTGGCCTTTCGTGGTTTGGACATTCCCCTGAAGAAACCTGTATTTTGACACCCTTTCGGCCAGCAATATGGACAGCTCAGTTAGTTTTTGGATTTAGACCTTTAGCGTTCCCAAAATACCTCAAAAAATCCAGGTTTCTGGCTGAGACGCAAATAAAGAGCGGCACTGACAAACAACGATATGATGACGACGACTGTAATATGACAGTCAATAGCAGAGACGATAGTCAAGAACACACCCAGGCCATTCCCCTGAACCCTCAACCGCTCCCATCTTCATCTCCGCACAAAGGATGCTTGCCAACATGAAGTTCATTGGGAACCTTTTCCTCCGACAGCTGTTGGCTGTGAAGGTCATCGGCCAGGTGGGGGCGTTGTGCGTGGGTTCAGGGTTAACAATCAATGACTTGGTTAAGGTGTCCTGTGCTTGAATGTCAGATAGAGGTTCGTTTGACCATACGTATGGTTACGAGTGCATTCTCTACTTGGGTCGATGATTGGTGAGAAGCATCGTTGCTTCACTCATGCACAGCCTACTTGGAACTGCTTGCAAGCGCGAACTTCTTTATGCGCACTCGCCTGAAATCTCTCCTGAAACAGTCTGAAGGCTGCCTGCGATGTTTTGGATGTTAAGTTTAGGGGTATTCGTGTTCTGCTTGGGCCTGAACTGATGCTGACTGAACCTGACCATGCACTTACTCTTGTGACACGCGAGGTCGTCCACGACTTGATTGGCATCAAGCAGGGAGAGAACCCTTTGCCCGAAGAGCACATGATCGAGTGCGTGTGCGAGCTTCTCCAGGCCATTGGCTACACTCTTGATGTTTCCCGGCGGCAGGTATGCATCATTCATCGTCGGCAGTGCAAAAGAGCTATAGTCCCGAGCTAGTTCCTGGCAATCCTAAACAACTTAAGCCGAAACGAACTTCGACAACAATTGAGGAGATTTCAACAGACCCCGAGAGCAGTCCTAGCGATCCTGGAGTGTGGCACCTCATGCTAGCCTGTCTTCAGGCCTTTCCTCTGCTTCAGGACCCAAAAAACTACCCCAAAATCAGGTTTAGTGCGGGGCTGGCACATCTGCATATCAGTGATGTATATGAAGTGGGGGCTGATGATGGGACTGCCCGGCCTTTGGTTTATATGTTGGCCCCTTGTGGGCTTATTTGTAGTGAAGTGAGAGTTTCAGAAATGGGTAACCCTTGTCTAGCCACCAAGTTTCAACAAGAATCGTTAATCTGAAGACCGCTTTTTGAGGAAGTCTCAACGGCAACCCAAGGAGACACAACAGGGCGAGTCGCTGATGAACTCCTTCGCGGCACGCCTGAAAGACTTGTCCGGGGTGCGCAACAATGGCAAGCACGCTTACAGCAAGCGCAGCTCGGCTGAGGGAGCTTAATGCTAAACGAGGATTTTTGATTCGTGAACTCGGCTTCCTTTGCATAGACATGTCACGACAGTTTCATGAAAACTAGTAGGTTCCGAATCCAGTCCTTGCATAGGAAGTCAGGCAAGAGTCTACACTACCCTGGATTCATGGGGGTACATCTGACGGACACAGATTTCGCGGATGTGCTTTGCTTCGGGATTTTCTGGCCGTAGACTCACATGAGCACAGGCGCTGCCCGTAAGGTCTCGAAAGGCCCTGGCTTGAATCCGACCCCGTAAACCCTAAACCCTTAAACCCTAAGCCCTAAACCCTTTACCCTTTAAGCCCTATACCCCAGACCCTTTAAACCCTAAACCCTTTGAGCCCCAAACCCTTTAACCTTTTAAACCCTAAAACTTTTAAACCCTCAACCCTAAACCGTACTTGTGGGTTGAGGGCCTTGAGGCGATTTTTCCAACTGCAAGGCCTCCGAAACCCTAAGGCTTAAGCCCCGACCCTTACCTCAAGGACTTGAGGGGTGGATAGTATAGGCCCTGTGGATTATGTTTCCTAGTATAGGATACTCCCAATAATAATAGGGTTATTTCAACCTACATACTGCAACCCCAGACTCCAAGTACAAGCTTTGGATGCTGCCAGGCATTCAGTTCCAGCGTCTTTGCCGCAGACAGTGGAGCGGGTTTGGGGGCTTTGGGTTTAGGGTTTTGGTTTTGCTTCCTCTGGCGTTGAGGTTGAGAGTTGAGGGTATCAAGGTGTAGGATTTGGGGGGATCGGCCGAGCTCACTAAGCTCCGAAGTTCTTTGATACTAGGTGTTCCCGAGGAGAAATGTTCATTTCTATCCCAAGATAAACTCAAGGTATTATCAGCAGTGCTTGTTTACATGTTGGGTCCAGGGGGGGGCCTTGCAGATACAGGGGTGCCGAATAGGCATCCCCTTAAAGCCTTACACCCCCTCATGCAACCATAGCGTAGAATACCAACCCACCCGCCCACCCAGACACCCACCCACCCACCCACCCACCAGAAAGAAGCCAGCAACTGATGTTCTGTTTCATATTGTAGTTGTGTTTAGGGCTAGGGTTATCTTAGGGGTTTAGGGTTACAGTGTCGTAGAGGGAGATAGACGACTTGGGTTAGTCTAAAGATGTTTAAGGTGTAAGGGATCCTTTGGGTCTGAGAAGCAGTGCGAGAATTGCTTGGTCCTGCCTAGTAGCCCAGGAAGCAACCTGGTGTTTTTCACGGTTTTGTTTCACTGTCGATTCTGATATTTGATCCTGTTATTGTTGGAATAAGCGTTTCCATTGCTACTGCTATCATGGTTTGCTATTTCGGTACCATTAATACTTATCATCTAGAATTATGATGATGATGATGATAGTGATGATGATGATGATGATGATGTCGTTGTTGTTAGTGCTACCGTTGTCAAACTGCTACTGATACGGCTGTATTGTCTTATTGTTTTCGTCTTTTAAACAGGCCTAGCAGACCTAAACCTCAACCCTAAACCCTAGTGGTGATGAGGATCGACGGACTCTTGGAGCTGCGCAAAAACAAGTGGATGCCGCCGCCTTAAGGGAAGGGTCCGAAAGTGTGAAACTTTAGGGGTTTGGGTTTACAATTTTGGGTTTAGGGGTGTAGGGTTTAGGGCCCAGGGTTTAGGGGTTTAGGCTTTGGGGTGTCGGGTTTTGGGGTGTAGGGTTTGGGGGTGTAGGGTTTAGAGTTTGGTTTGAGGCTTTTCGGACTTAGGGCTGCTAAAGGATCGGGGAAGTGGGTGTCAAGCAGGGTTGCAAGCACGAAATCCCCGGTGTTTCTGGGGAGTGGACGACCCTGAGCTAGGTAGGCTGGTTAGGCTGGTTCATCAACCCTAAACCCTAAACCCTAAACCCTTTAAACCCTAAGCCCTAAAACCCTCTGCGAGGCAAAAAAAAACCCTAAACTCAACCCTTGATGCCATGGCTGCTGGCAGCTCAGAGGGGTGTGGCCCCACATCGAGCCATACTGAAGGTTCACGCTTGTCCCCGAGTCAAATCTCGAACCTTTAAACCTGCAGTGTTTGTGTAGTGCAGCATATTCCTTGTAGGAATTTCTTTGTCGGATTTCCGCATCATGTTAATTGGAATCCGACATCAGATTTTGCTTGGCGCGGCTTACCATTCACTGTATGCGTGTCCAGATGGTATTGTGACATACCGTACTCCCTGAACTTTGTGGACTCTCCACCTGAGGACACTTCTCCGAACGTCCTTCCTATAGTGCTGATCCGACCAAAGAGATCTCGTCTGTCAGTGTCCGAGTTGGCTGAGCGGAAACCCTCATCAGCCCTCATCCCCGAAGCCCTAGCACGCCTAAGTTATTACAGAAGCATAGAGTAAAAAGTTGGCCCCCAAATTCCGCTAAACCCAGGGCCCGAAGCGTTTGTGGCCACAGGTTGGGACTCAACGAGAGGTATACGGTTTAGGTGTTCATAGCCGCACTGTGGCGTTGTTCTGGCTCAGAGCCCATAAACCCCATAACCGAAATAAACTTGCCCGAAGCTTTCATCCTCCGCTCCGACTGGTGTGTGAAGATACTTTGTCAGTTGGGTAACATTTGTCATGTTTATGGGTGCCTAAATCAGGTTGAAATTTTGACATTATCCCAATCATGAGCTGGTATAAAGGCCGAGTATTTACACATGTATTTCCCCGCGGTAACTGGTGATAGTAATACCACACCACATACCCCCAACACCCTATGCTACTTCCCGTATACCCTTATATCATACTGTATTACCCGAGAAGCACCGTAACATCTAAAGTAGGCCACTCGGATAAGTACACTACAAGGACTCTAGGGCTTCTTCAAGGAACAGTTAGCCACCTTGGGGGTAACTGTGCTCCTAGAGGTACCCTGTAAGAACCTCATAAAGAAAGCATCAAAACCTCATAATAACCCGAGAGAAGCCTCCCAAAGCTTGAAACCCTATAAAGCTCGACTTTGTCTGGCTGGGAAGACGTGTAAGAACATTATGAAACCCTTCAAAGCCCCTGTCAAGTCCGAGAAGACCCTATACAAACCTGTGAGCTTAGGGTTTAGGGTGATTGTGGCTGAAGGAAGAAGCTCTTCAAGGAGCAGGCGAAGACCAAGAATGCAGTGCGTGAGGAGGCAGAGCGCGAACAGCGCCGCTTGGATGAAGTGGGGTTTAGTTTAGGGCTTCGGTTTGAATGAATGTTCCCCGATATTATGATAGGTCATTCAGCGGCGGAAGTTCCTGTCAGTGTCTGAAGGCTCAGGTCAATAAAGTACGAAGTTATGCGCAGTCCTCGTGTAGTCCTGAGGACAGGATCATGCTTTCAGTGGCCCACCTATAAACCACGAAGTTCCGACAATTGGCTCTTGCTCTCTCTCCGCTCCATCTCTCCCTCTCTCTCTCTCTCTCTCTCTCTCTCTCTGTGCACACTTGGGCAGTGGCTGAAGGCTTGTTCGACATGAACACTAAATCCCGTGACCTGAGCTGCATCCAGGCCAGCATGGTCGCACTGTCGGGCCGGACAACATGCTTCTTGGCTCATTGCGGCTTGGGGTCTTGCGGTTTGTCGCAAGCAGAACCTACCATGTTTAGGGCCCTATTGGGCAATGCAGATGCCCCGCGCTTCCACTGCAGGTAGGTAGGTAAGTAGGTCGGTAGGTAGGTGAGTAGGTAAGTAGGTAGGCCGGTTGGTAGACAGGTCGGCGGGCAAGCAAATGGGTAGCTGGGCAGGTAGGTAGGTAGGTGGTCAGCAGATAGAAGGTGAAGAAGCAAGTAGGTGGGTAGGTAGGTAGGTAGGTAGGTAGGTAGGTAGGTAGATGGTGAGTATGTAGGTAGGTACTCAGCAGCGGCAGCAGAGGAAGCTAGGTGCTGATTTCTTGCTTGCAAGGCCGAAGGGTTCGAACAACAAGCCCTCTAAGACCTTGGCCTGGCACCAACAGGTGGAAGCTCAAAAGCAAACCTGTCGGGGTGCCGGGGCGTTAGGGTAGCAGGGTAGCAGGTTTCGGGTCGATTGTTTAGTGGCTGAGGATTTGGAGTCCTTTGGAACCGGGCCATTGTTATAGGATGCTGGCTCTCCGAAAGCCTCAGCCACGCAACTCAGACCATGGGCTCTGCAGCGCGAAGAAGCTGGGAAACTTTCTTCCCAAATTTCGAGGATGACCACCAGACGTGTAGGTTCCCAAAACCCTGAACCCTAATCACCCTAAGGTGGGAGGCAAAAAATCACCCTAATCCGTTTTTAAAAAGTAGTTTTCAGGTTTTCCGTCCAGACCGTCGGTGTGCGACCTGCCTACATGGATGCCCCTTGTCTTGGCACGGTGAGTCTTACGGTGCAGCCTTAACTCTAGACTGCCTGCTATAGCAGCTGGATAACTACCGATATTGCGCCTTAGGTTCCGTAGTGTAATGGTACTACAAACC